AGTGGCCAGGGAGCGATAGGACACCTGCTCGTTTCTCTGATCCTGCACATCCTTAGCTTGATCTGTCTCAGCAAAGGCTGGAGACCCGCCTATCTGGTTGCTTTCATCTATGACCATGCATGAAGCAGGGGATTGGCCTTGTGTTCTCCATGGCTTCTTCTCATTCTATGCTTCAGTTTGGCTGACTCCTTGGGGTGCGCGAAGGAGCAGACCAACCTGCCTTCTGAACCACCAGAAGGGTCTCCTGAAGGGGGTCAGCCCAGGTCCCAAGGGAGGAGCAGGCCCAGACGCTGGGAGATGTGCCAGTGGGATCCCATCACTCGTCCCTGGGGCAAGTGCCAGAGACTGTAGCAGCCTTCTGGCCTCTGCTTGCACACCCGCCACGTCCTGGGCAAATATTTGTTTACCACCAGGATCTTCATCCCCAAGTGCCTTTGATAGCTGACCACAAATCAGCATTTATGGCCTCCCTTTCCTTTTCAGACTGTTTGCTCTCAACCCATTTAGCCCTTCCTGGTGTTAATGGTTGAGGTTGATCAAAGACATTCTGGGTGGGGAATTGCTGGGGAGAAATGTTTACTGCAAGGCGGTGGTTCCGGTTGTGGAGTCCAGGTTTGCGGCTCTTGCGGCCTGGGGATGTTTGCAGTTGAGTCTAACACGTTGGGATGCTGCCAGGTTGGGGATAGCTGGTGTGTCTGTGTGTGTGTGTCTGTGTGTATCAAAGAACCAAAATACAGTACCCTGAGACTTCCATTCAGCAGAATTCACATGCAATGGATCAATTTCTGTTGCAATTTGCATCTTTTGCATAACCATGTCATTAGGGTTAAGAACGCCCGGGTTACAGACAACCCATAGTTAAGGACGGAGCCTATCATAGCAAAATTTGAGTTAAATACACAATTCCAGTTAAATACACAATGGTTCGAGTTTATTACACAACACAAGGTTGAGAAATACTGGCATATACTGTATTATACAACCATACTATTCCAGCTTACATACCAATTCGATTTAAGGACAGATCTTGGGGATGGAACTCGTTCTTAAACGGGGAACTACCATACCCAAAGGACATAATGGCCCATTTGCATAAGGATGTCATTATGCAAATGAGCCAAACGGCATACTCTTTGATCTACCAGACTTTGGGAAAGAACAGACCCCCCTCCCTGCAAGGGACTTTCCCTTCGTTCTTCAAGGAATCTCAAAAGGGCTTCTGGCGGATCCGAGCCTCTCTCGCCACGCGTGCAGAAGGATGGCGCCGTGGGGCGCACAGGGGGCCTGCCTTCATCTGCCCTCCCTGCTTGGCAAGCGGAGCAGCAGCTGATATCGCTGGGCTTCCCCCCTTGTGCGACAGTGTGAAAGACGCAAAACGTGTTGCTTGCTTCTGATTGCGGGGCGATGGAGGGAAAGAGGAAGCAAGGATAACTCCAGGACCGTTACAAACGGCCATGCCATAGGACAAGCATGGCAGTGGGAG